GGGGGGGGGGGGGGGGAGAAGCATGCAGTGAATTTAATTACATAGAGATAGAGAAGGAAAGTTGAGATAGTATAGGGTGGTGGAACCCTAGATCAGTAGTGAGGTATCTTGAAATATCCTAGATAAACGTGGTGTTCTAGAACACCCTACACCACCGTCGTGTTCTAGAACACCCTACACCACCGTCGTGTTCTAGAACACCCTACACCACCCTCGTGTTCTAGAACACCCTAGACCACCGTCGTGTACTAGAACACCCTAGACCACCGTCGTGTTCTAGAACTACCTAGACCACCCTCGTGTTCTAGAACACCCTAGTTGAGTGACTGTTCAGTTGAGGGGAGGCTGATGGAGGACATATGGCGCTGGTGGTCCGAGGGAAGCTAGGCTCGGGAGGTGAGGGCATTTTATGCTCGAATCTGAGGGTCTGAGGGCCATTACCGGGCGCCGGTGCAGGAGAGATCGTGTCATCCTTCATGTAGGCCTTCTGAATACTATAGGATTTCGGTATACTGTTGGACTTCCTACTGGAATTTCCATAGGCCTTCCTACTGGGCTTCCTCTAGGCCTTCTAATTACTCTAGCCCTTCTTTTACAGGTCTTCCTATAGGTCTTGTGAACATACCTATCCACCCTGCCCATCTATCGTGCTATTTGCGCGCTATTAACGTGTATAAGGTTCACTTATGAATAAAATTTCAACGAACGAATGAAACTTCCACTAACGAATAAAACTTCCTCTACGAATAAAACTACCACTCACGAATAAAACTTCCGCTAACGAATAAAACTTCCACTAACGAATAAAACTTCCATTAACCAATACAACACTCACTAACGAACACAACGCTCACTAACGAACACAACGCTCACTAACGAACACAACGCTCACTAACGAACACAACGCTCACTAACGAACACAACGCTCACTAACCTGCACATAACTTCGTGCGTGAGCAGCACTCGGCACATCTCAGGGTTCTTGTCTTGGCCTTCGTATGCGATCGCCTGCAAATTAAGACAATATATAAATAAGAACATTTTTATAGGACTTCCACATATAAATAAACTTTATAAACAATTAGAGCACAACAATAATATTGGACCAAATTAGTTTCATGTTAAAATTCTCCGTAGATATTGACAATTTCTCACAGTTGTAGAAGTGTTCATTTTATTTTTTACAGATGAAAGAAAGAATATTTTGAGCAAGCAACTATATGGCTTGAATTGTCGAATTTATTTTTCAAATTAAAAATAATTGTTGAAAAAATATAAAATTTGAAAATTTTTAGCTTGGCACTGAAATTCCGAATATGTTTGACTAAAACTTTTAGAATGGCGTGCATTATAAGTGAAAAATACGAAGACAAATTATGAATAGTCCTTAGACTTTATGGCATATTTCAAACTATTATTTCGTGATCATGCACCCTAGCCAAGCATACAAAGTATACAACGCGTGCCTGCATGGTGTTAACACAACATGCACAGATAACACGAAGCGTGCCTGGTGTTAACACAATATACACAGATAACACAAAGCGTGCCTGGTGTTAGCACAACACACAGATATTCTAAATGGGATGGATAACTCACCTTTTGTCGAAGATCATTATAATATATATAAGTTAAATTCAGTACGTTTTATTATAAAACTTCCGATACGTTTTCTATAAATTTCTTCAAACGTTAATCAATATGAACAACTGAATGTTCCCGTAACTGCTGCTGTGAACGTTTCCCTCACCTATTCCTCTAAACGTTTCCCTCACCTGCTCCTCTAAACGTTTCCCTCACCTGCTCCTCTAAACGTTTCCCTCACCTGCTCCTCTAAACGTTTCCCTCACCTGCTCCTCTAAACGTTTCCCTACCTGCTCCTCTAAACGTTTCCCTACCTGCTCCTCTAAACGTTTCCCTACCTGCTCCTCTAAACGTTTCCCTACCTGCTCCTCTAAACGTTTCCCTACCTGCTCCTCTGAAAGTTTCCCTACCTGCTCCTTTAAACGTTTCCCTAAAAGCGCCTCTAAATGTTTTTTGTATGTTTAAAGTTATAATCTCATATATTGTTTGATAGTATGAGCTTTCCATTGAGATATAACGTGACACATAAGAGCTATAAATTAATTTCCGGAATGGCGCAGAATTTCAAGTCCAGCGACAGATGACATGCCCTGTTCGGACCGCAAGGATGCGCTTGAATGAACCTCCGTGATGGCTTGGAGGGGTGGCTTGGAGGGGTGGCTTGGAGGGGTGGCTTGGAGGGGTGGCTTAAGCTGGAGGGGTGGCTTGGAGGGGTGGCTTGGAGGGGTGGCTTGGAGGGGTGGCTTGGAGGGGTGGCTTGGAGGGGTGGCTTGGAGGGGTGGCTTGGAGGGGTGGCTTGGAGGGGTGGCTTGGAGGGGTGGCTTGGAGGGGTGGCTTGGAGGGGTGGCTTGGAGGGGTGGCTTGGAGGGGTGGCTTGGAGGGGTGGCTTGGAGGGGTGGCTTGGAGGGGTGGCTTGGAGGGGTGGCTTGGAGGGGTGGCTTGGAGGGGTGGCTTGGAGGGGTGGCTTGGAGGGGTGGCTTGGAGGGGTGGCTTGGAGGGGTGGCTTGGAGGGGTGGCTTGGAGGGGTGGCTTGGAGGGGTGGCTTGGAGGGGTGGCTTGGAGGGGTGGCTTGGAGGGGTGGCTTGGAGGGGTGGCTTGGAGGGGTGGCTTGGAGGGGTGGCTTGGAGGGGTGGCTTGGAGGGGTGGCTTGGAGGGGTGGCTTGGAGGGGTGGCTTGGAGGGGTGGCTTGGAGGGGTGGCTTGGAGGGGTGGCTTGGAGGGGTGGCTTGGAGGGGTGGCTTGGNTGGCTTTGTAAGTGATGGCTTTGTAATGGGTTTAGAAGACAATTGAAGGCCCGGCAGCGCATGTGTTGCTGCGCCGTTACTGCGGTGGCCGCTACACTTGTCAGCTGCGCCACACAATGGCGCTTGTTAGGACGCCACCCATGCCGTCAGGTGGCCACATGCCACATGATATGCTGTCATGTGGCCACATGCCACACGATATGCAGTTCATGATGTTACATGCAATCACATGCCACATGGTATGCTGTTCATGTACATGAAGCATTAGCATGATAGTTGGATGCCCATTTACTTCAGACTCCCGTGAGATAAATATAGCGAAATTTATTTCTGTTTTTCTGTTTTTTTTTTCATAATTATCCCTTTCACGGGCAAGTTACCATATATCAACTGAATTTGCCTCACAAGAGACCCACCACGGCTTCCTGTTTGTTTTTGAAGCTTCCTTATCATGCGTCAGTCAATCACTAATTATCTGACCTCAGTCAATTACTAATTATAATGCCTCAGTCAATCATTAATTATATAATCTGACCATCATTCTATCCATAGCATCACTACCTGCCATGCCCAAACATTAAAATATGGACATTTAAATGAACGTTTTGAATTGGACGATGAAATTAATACTCTTTCCGCATCTTTTAAAAGCGGAAGTATCAATACATATTCAATTATATAAGGTAACTTTATTGAATTGAATTAAATTTTTATGCCATTAATTTTTTCATTTGCATGAACTAAATTTCAATTGTACAAAATATTTCGTGTAGTGACCGCGTTCATTAAATTCTTCAAGTACGATTTAAAACTCTAACATGCAAAATTTTTAAAAATACATACCAGCAAATATTTTATATAATGACACTTACTTCCTTTTACTCGTTTCTGGACTTTTAATTTCTTGACATTTCAATGCTTGCCCGCGAAAGGGCTAAAAAAGTTTCTAAAATGTTCAAATTTTTATATTTTAGAAAACCCTAAATTTTTTTGTAAGTGCAGTCGTAAGTTTTTCAGAAGTTAAGTCTGATAATTTCCTCACTCTTTTTTCAATTCGCATTAGAATAATACTATTAATTGAACCAAACTCAAAGTAAAAACGGTTAATTGATCCAAACATGTTTTTTAAAGTATATGAACGATAATTTGAATACAACGCCTCCTAAAAAAACACTATTGTGCAGGGGGTGAGGTAAGCTGCTGTTTCCTATAACAATGGTGGCTCGTTATAAACTATATGCAAATTCCCCTATAGTAAGTCCTTTAAAATCCTTCACTAAACTTCCATCATCCGGTATACGGAGGACGCTTATCCTTTCATTCATTTACGGAGCAAACGTTGAGTAAGCAGGGTATTCAGGCGTGAATAAAGAGCAATCATGGGCCTAAATCAACGGTGATAAACAGAGATATTCAAAATTATAGGTCGCTGAACTACACTCACTGTTATATAATTCTGAGTCAATTATGAGAAAGTGGGTCATGGACTTCAGTGTTGACGTTACCAACGCATTTGTGTCAAAAATTTGCATATAGGATGAATTTCCTAACTATTAACCTTAAGACAATATAGGCTGGTTGTTATATTATTACCAAATGAATTACGTACAATATTGGTACATCCAACTTATGCGTTAGACATCAAAGGTATACTCTCGCTCAATTACAACCTATACGTATGCGGTATAGTATATAACAAAGCGCGAGTATATTAAGAGTATGCTACAGTATATGCGAAGTATAACGTTTTTTACGTCATTACCTACACTATGCATACGGCATATGCAAATTAGGGGTTGGTTTTGAATGGGCCTTCAGTTTAGCCCGGCCACAAAAGACTCTGTCACCGACAAAATAAAATCTGTCACGCGACAGTCCATGTGAGCCGATTAATACAGCAGCGTTTTGGCTGGGTGGTCTATTGGTTTTAAAATACAAATTTAAAAATAATAGATTTATACAGTTTTTAAATTTAATGTTTTGGTTTTAGGGTGGGTGGTCTACTTGGGTTTTTCGACTTTGGGTTTAAAAGAAACCACTGAATTAAAACTCTGTTAAATTAAAATTTTTGGTTTCATGATATCATTGTAAATCAAATCAATAATCAATTTGAATTTAGGCTTTTCAAAATTCAAGTGCATGCAGAGCAAATTTGAGTTTTAGTCACAGAACAGAAGCTGCTCAAAAGTGAAAGATTATTTTCATTTTATTACTGGTTCAAATCAAAGTTAAAAATCATTGGCTTTTATTATTGGCTTAATTCACCTTTTATCAAAGATTTTCGATAAATGCAACGATTTCTACGTTCTTAACAAATTTGTGCTTCAAATTTCGTTATACAACGTTATACAATTCCAAAAAAATACGCATTAACTTTGCCTACTGAATTTTCGAATAACTATTAAAATTCTTTATGCCAGAAGTTGCAATCATCAACATTGCCTTGTTAACAATTCACATTCAATGAATGGCGCACGTAAACCTGGACTATAAATCTGATGAGGCAGAAATTCAGCACAGCGTAGAGATCTGTGCATATCCTCCATTACCATGGGTAAGAGAGCGATGGGTGGAGATTCTAGGAGCAGATAAGGAGGCTTTAGATAAGCGATAGTTGGATAAGGCCGCTTAGTGCTTGCCAATTTCTGCCACATGAGGGGAGACCAAAACAAACTCAAACAAACATCACAACTACGGCCAAGGTTCCCGAGCGTTAAGCGTGACTCATGGGAATCCTGCTTTTATGTCGGCTTAGCCTTACAGAAATCGTTAGTTTGCATTTGACGTTAATTCATGGTTCATTTTTTATGAACTAAAGTTCCATTCGCATGAGAATATATATTTATTTACAGTCTGCAACTTTGACGGACACTTTTTTATTTTACTAAGACTTTCAGTCACGTGAGAACGAGAATTTACATACTGTAGCTTTGTCGTTATATCAAATCAAAAACAACTTTAGTTATTCGAAACCGAAAAAATTGAAGAACTACAATAATATTATAACTAAATATTTATTCATTGCATCATATTCTCAAATAATCGGAAAAATATACTGTGAAATCCCGCAGATTCGAGGAATCCTGCCAAGCATCCCAGAACTCAAGCAATCCTATTTCCCGGAGCACATCGAACAGGCGTCGCAGTCCGGATCCTATTTTGCGGACGGCGGGGGCGCCACGCGTCCGCCCACCGTCCGCTGTTTGTGTTCAGTGGCGGCGTCCGTCCGCGCAACAGATTACGATGAGAACCTTTATCATCTCAGAGAAATGAGTGAGACTTTGTCCAAGTAGCGCTAAATTTTTTGAGTTTATGTAGGTCTTCTTGGCTCAATTTGACCCGGCAAAGGACGTATCAGTGTTGCGTGCGGAAAGTTTGTCGCTAATTGGCCAATGTGACTCATTCATTTAGTTGCGCATGGGAAATGAGCGTATGTTTATATCAGTGAATAAATTTCAATTCGATACAGGATTACATATATGAGTATATTCATATCTAGGTGAATAAGAGCTTTGCAAAAAATTTACATAAATGAAGGTGTTTTTATCCTTAACATACAGAGAAATAAATAAAAATAAATTCATAAATGCATTTCCGATTAATGAAGCCGAACTGCAGTCTTGTAATTATGTTCCCGGAGTAGTTTAAAGGATGGAGTCCTTTAAGCTGTACAGTATGCAAACGTCGGCACGCGTCCCGTCTGGGGTGACTGGTCCCAAGTGTTTGCTTCCCGAGGAGTTTTTTTATCGCTAAATGAATATAGAACTTCTCAGTTAAATCTAATCAGTCAATCAGGCGTGGTGTTTAAATAGTGGCCAGGTTACGCAATTTTCGTGTATTTTTGGTTGGTTGAAACTGTAATTTCATATTTTCAATTAATATTAATCAGATATTTAGACTCCTTGTTTAATTGTTAACGTAGGTTATGAAACTTGCTGTGTAGTTTTATTTATGAACTACTAAACTTTTACAAGCACAACCTAACCTAACCGGCTACGAATGGTTAAATGAATGGTAACGGTGATGGTGGTGGTTGTGATGGTGAGTGTTGGTGGGTGAGTAGAATTTGCTTATCGGCGTTATAGATCAGTCCCATTAAGCTGCTGGTCTCAATAATGGTAGCGGGAGTAGTTTCTTATTTCCCCACGAGTTGCTCTTCCCTTACCTCCCTAATCCCTCCTTCTCCCCTCTAATGCCCTTATCCCCTCATCGCTTGCTCGTCTACCACACCGAGGGTAAAGAATGAGGTAAGAACGCATAACAAAAACCTCGCTCAAAACTCAATTTACGATCAGATATTAGGCAACGGACCAGAACAATTCTGGCGTTAATATTTATTATATAATTTGATTTGTTATTATCATTGATTTATTATTGTACTAAAATAACGATCAGAGATTAAGCAACGTTAGAGAACGATTCCGGCATTAATATTTATTATATTATTTGATTCATTATTATCATTGATTCATTATTATACGTAACTAAGGACTAGATGTTAGGCAACGGAAGAGAAGAATTCTGATGTTAAATGACGCAGACTCACGGTTAAGTTTTACGAAAATATAGCGCAACGTCAAGGTCAGACCACATGCATTTGAATACTTTTTTATAGGTTTTTGGCCATTGAACTGTGCTGCGAGGTACGACTTATGGCAGTGCACGTGTGAACACTCGAAGAAAACTGATATAATTATAATTTCTATGATAATAATCTTTATGACAATCATTTAGACTACATGCAGATATTCGATTTTCAGGCGAAATTCAATCAAGTAATAAAAAACATCAAATTCGCATCGTAGGTTCGAAATTTGTGCTAAGCTTTATTTTATCACGTGAATCCAACACGACAGATCAGGGCATGTACGATGAAGTACGATAAGTACGATAAAGTACGATAAATAAAAGGCACTCAAGCGCCTGAAAAGCATTGATGGCTTTGGTCCGCAGTTCAGGATGAGCAGAGGCGTGATTAGCGATGTGTCATCCGGATTAGTTTATGGAAACATTGATGTAATCCAACAACGAACGCCGTACAATGTACATTGTACAACCAACTGCAGTCTATGCAGCCAGCGGTCATGTTTAGGGAACGTTTCTTTAAACGCTGTGGTGGTAAGCGTTGTCGTAGAATAATATACATTTTTTCACGATTTGCAAACGTTTTCGTTTAATAACATTTTTTAACGATGTTGTACAATTAGAGAAAACTTCAAACAATACGGAGCCATTGCTTTACAATAAGGAGAAATTTTTTTAACGATGTTGTGCGATCGTTTCATGAATGGAACTGCATTATGTTCCTCTTATGGATCTGCAGTTTCATAAGGAACATTTTCCTACTGTATCCATGTTTTAAGTGGAATAATTGTTTCGTGAATTACCGAGAATTTTTCTGAATGGCCAATTATCGCTTCTGACTATTGTTTCCGTTGTCGACTAAAGGAATTTTATTTTTCAAGATGACAGCATTTTAGTTTTTGTTCGATTTTCTTTTATGATTAAATATCGCGGTTATTGTAATGGCCAATATTTTAACTTAAATCTTTTCAACATATGATCGAGAATCTTCCACCATATAATCTGTTTTAACTTTTAGCGCAGGAAAATTTTTGATTCAACCTCACAAAAGTTTAAATTTTAATTTAAATTAAATTAAATATCCTAACTACTCTTTCTGCAATAAAATTACAGCTAGTAATTGCTACATTTTTAATAATTGCTATCTACTGGCAATCAATGCTTATATTCTTTAAATTTTTTCATTACATTAACTACCCACTTGTTACCAGAAAATAATTTTTAAAAATTCTTGTTTTACTATCGTGAAATTTCTCTTATATAACTCAAATCTTGAAAAAAATTTTAGGATAAACATATTTAAATTTACCTTCAGAGTACTTACCAGCCAGCACCTTCAACGCCTTTTTTATAATTATAAATTTTTCAAACAAATATTCGTGATAATTAACTAAAATTTTTTTTTGCGTCCATACCTGTTTGGAGTTGGCGTCTATCAATCGAACATAAATATCTTCTTCGTGCCGCGTGCCTGCACGGTAAGAAACAAGCAAATATAACAAGCAGGCAATACAAAATATACACTTTAGTATGAAGTAAACAGAACTGTATATCTCATACGAAATATACAGCACGAAATACAACACTGAGGCAGAGGCACGGGGGAGGGAAGGGCCGGGACCGTTAGACATGCTTTTTATGTGCGCGGATTAAAAGGGTGTAAAAGTATGATGTGAAAGTGTAAGAAAGTGAACAGTGAGGACGAAAGTGTATGAATGTTATGTAAAAGTGCACCCGAGTGAACAGTTAGGATGAAAATGTCTAAATGAGATTTAAAAGTGCAAGAAAGTGAACAGTGCGGGTGAAAGTGTATGAACGTGATGTAAAAGTGTACGCGAGTGAAGAGTGAGATTAACATTGTATAAGAACAATGTAAAGTATATCCGACTAAACAGTAGAAGTGAAAGTGTATGAGTGTGAACGACGGAAGTTTTAAGTCTGCTTGTTTATTAGGCTGGCGACTCGCAGTGTCATTGACGGTGAACATTGAAAAAATATTCAACTCAAGTCACAGGTCATTGATTTAATAAGTTAAGAAAAATTACAAACAGAAATCAAATCAACAAATTCAATAGAGAAGAAAAATCTTTATTAACAAAATAAATTTCGGTTAGAAGCAGGCTTCTGTGAGTAAGGTGATAAGCCAAATTTGTTCCATTACAGTACATTTGCTTCATTAGAGTTCATTTGTTCCATTAGAGTACATTTACTCCATTAGAGTTCATTTGTGCCATTAGAGTACATTTGCTTCATTAGAGTTCATTTGTTCCATTAGAGTACATTTGCTTCATTAGAGTTCATTTGTTCCATTTGAGTACATTTACTTCATTAGAGTTACTTTCTTCCATTAGAGTACATTTACTTCATTAGAGTTCATTTGTTCCATTAGAGTACATTTGTTCCATTAGAGTATATTTGTTTAATTAGAGTTCATTTATTTCATTAAAGTTCATTTGTTCCATTAGAGTACATTTGTTCCCTTATAGTACATTTGTTCCATTAGAGGACATTTGTTCCATTAGAGTACATTTGTTCCATCAGAGTTCATTTTGTTGTTGTCGCATGAAGTTGTAAAGGTAGAAGCGTTTTGCGGGCTGGGAAATCTTGGCTTTAATGCCAAAAGGAGAATGATTTTTTAATATAAGATTGTGTTGGTCTGATAAAGTGGCTTTATAAATTGGAAAAATGATGACAAAAGTAACAGCTAATAAAAGCTCCGTGTAACAGCTAATAAAAGCTCCGTGTAACAGCTAATAAAAGCTCCGTGTAACAGCTAATAAAAGCTCCGTGTAACAGCTAATAAAAGCTTTACTGTAACAGCTCCAAAACAGTAGTAGGAAGATGCGTGCCAAAATCAGCATGTGCAACAGGTGAACAGACATCAACAGTCACGAACAGACGAGACAAAGCGGGTCAAAAAAGAGACAATCTGTTACCTGTTTAGTAACAGAATCGATGACTCTAAGGAAAATGTCCTGTTCCTGTCGAATACCTGTTGAACAGATGCTGTTGAACAGATGCTGTTTGTAGGGGTATAATGAAAACTAAGGAAATAAGTAAGGAAAGGAAACTATCAGTTCTGTCTCTGCAATTAAGATTAAATCTTTGAAAGTTCCGTAATAAATATCGTTACTACACTTGTAAAAAGAAATAAATATTGTCTGAATAGCGACACATTTTCTGCGTACAACAATTGTACATCCTTTTCTGGGTCAAGATGACTCACGCAAGGGCAAAAGTTGCCTCGATATTTGAACGAAGTCTCTTTAATTTTTTTAGTGTAATATTGCATTAGCGTGAAGATTTTCCAAATGTCCCAATATTTACCAAATGTCCCAATATTTGCCAAATGTCCCAATATTTGCCAAATGTCCCAATATTTGCCAAATGTCCCAATATTTGCCAAATGTCCCAATATTTTCCAAATGTCCCAATATTAAATAGCAAAGCATCAACGTAAATATCATGTGTACATGAGTGTTAAGAGTGTATTGAAGTAAAGTAATAGATGATAAAGTGATGCAATTATTTTCTTTGAAACCGATATGACAATTAAATAAATATTAATGATGTAATGAAAATTAAAAATGACATCAGGAATATAGAAAAGAACTGACATAAGAAAAAAGTGGAAAAACTTAACGAATAAAATAAAAACCTGATCAAATACAAGAACTCAAGTAGCAAATAAGTAAAGAGTGAATGACACACCCTTTTAGGACACGAGTGAGAAAAAGAGATAAGATAAAAAGGGTTAGAATGGAAAAATACTTGTTGACTAACTTCACTTATCCTGCCCCAATCAGAAATGCGGTCGGTGGCTTAATTTGACATTTGCGGGTAAAAACAAAACACAAGAAGGGAGGCAACCGGCAAACTGCGTCGACAGGGGCGATATTTGTGGTACCCTCGGGGGAGTGAGGGGAGGAAAGAGGGGAGTGAGGGGATGGGAAAAAAGGAGTGAGGGGAGGGGAAGAAAGGAGTGAGGTGAAGGGGAAGAAAGGAGTGAGGTGAAGGGGAAGAAAGGAGTGAGGGGAAGGGGAAGAAAGGAGTGAAGGGAAGGGGTAGAGGGGAGTGAGGAGAAAAAGGAGAAGGGAGTGTAAGAAGAGGAGAGTGAGGGGAGGTGAGATATGTACCAGAGAATAGGGAAAATGAGCAGAGGGAATATAGAAGAACTATTTTGGAAAGTTGGCTAAAGATAAGGAGGAGAGGGAGATAGGGATGCGGGGAAGGTGTGGAAGAGGCGAGAGGAAGAGGGTAAAGGCGTGTGGATGTGAGGGGACACGCGGGGCTATTGATCAGCCCAGGGGACCGTGCGAGGTCTCAGGGGAAGAACGCCCCCTTATGGCGTCTTGGAGACCGTTGCGAGGGAAGTGAGGGGAGGGTGAGGGAAGGGTGAGGGGAGAGTGAGTAGGGGAATTTGGGATTGAAATTGAGAGGAGAGGGAAAATGTGAAGCGGACAATAGTGAAAATTAATTTGAATTTTGGTTCACTTGACAATATGGTTCACTTCGATGGTTCTTAAGACATTATGTTTTTCCGGTTCACAATCTGACATGATCTACCTTCAAGGTTCACGCTTGTTTATCTTTTTGACTAGGTTTTATTAGGTAAACGCTGTATATTTTTGTGGTTTGCAAACGTACATGGTTCATTTTGCACGGTTTTTGCAAATACATTTGCACGGTTTTTAATGTATTATTTCAATTTATTAAATCCTCTTACATTTATCTATCAAATTCTTATATTAATACTTCACTATAGCATTTCTACATGCAGAGAACTTGGTTCGTGTCAGAGACTCTTCCTTATAGCGTCAACTAGCGTCTCCTAGCGTCACCTTGCGTCTCCTAGCGTTACCTAGCGCCACCTAGCGTCTCCTAGCGTCACCTAGCGTCTTCTAGCGCCAACTAGCGTCTCCTAGCGTCACCTTGCGTCTCCTAGCGTCACCTAGCGCCACTTAGCGTCTCCTAGCGTCACCTAGCGTCTCCTAGCGTCTCATAGCACCACCTAGCGCCAAATAACGCCACCAAGCGCCACCTAGCACCACCTAGCGCCACCTAGTGCCACCTAGTGCTACCTAGTGCCACCTAGCACCATCTAGCGCCACCTAGCACCACCTAGCGCCACATAGCACCACCTAGTGCCACCTAGCGCCACCTAGCGCCACCTAGCGCCACCTAGCGCCACCTAGCGCCACTCTAGCGCCGACGCGCGATGATGGCGCAGTGAAATGGCAGCGCTGGTCCACGTCGTAAGGCCTAACCAGCGTGTCAAGTATGTGCAATATTAAGCCTTGCACGCTGGTGACGTAAGAGCGATAATGATATCACCTCGTGTCGCCTGAACGAGCTCTTGTTAGTGACAAGATTGTGAGGTCATCGGAGCTCCTGGGTTAATTTTACGATACTGTCTTAAGATTGCGTAAAAACAAACCAGTTTTTTAATAAAAAAAACTCAAAATAGGAGAGCATTTCAGCTTTTTACATGAAAATAAAATAATTAAATAGTAAATATACTATAGATACTATAATATATATTGTTAATCTATAAATTAAGGCGGTATCTTGTCCCAGTATGGGTTGAATTTGTGCCCAAACTTTGCGTTATCGCAAAAACAAGCCACGAGGCGACGCGGTTCCCCCGGGGGCCGTAACGGCGCCCCTCAAGAGGACTCGGTTTCCTTCAGGGACATCCCCTCCTCCTCCCCCTCCTCTCCCCCTCCCCCTCCTCTCTAATCCCCTCCTTCTTATCGGGGGACACAACCCCCGCCTCACCAATCACTTCATCACCGCGTCCCTTCCCTCTCCCCCCTGCCAGCCTACTCAAGCCATCCCCAGCCATCCCCAGCCTACCCCAGCCTTTCACAGCCTACATCTAGCCTTCTTATAGCCTTCCTGTAGCCTTCTCTAGCCTTCCTATAGACTTTCCTAGCCTTCCTGTAGTCTTCTCAACCTTTCCTTAAACTTCACTTATCCTTCCCTCAGACTTCCCTAACCCTTACTCGCCCCTTGGCTTTTCCCAGCTTTCGTCAGATTTTCTCTCATGCTTAGGCCTTCTCGCACAATAGTTTTGACTCTATCTTTAATGGGTTGAAATAGTTCATTATCGGTTGAAATAGGAGTTTATAGGTTGAAATAGGCGTTTATAGGTTGAAATAGGTGTTACAAGTTGAAATATGTGTTTACAGATTGAAATAGGTGTTTAAATGTTGAAATATGTGTTTACATGTTGAAATAGGTGTTTATAGGTTGAAATAGGCGTTAATAGGTTGAAATAGGTGTTTATAGGTTGAAATATGTATTTATAGATTGAAATAGGTGTTTACAGGTTGAAATAGGAGTTTATAAGTTGAAATAGGTGTTTACAAGTTGAAATATGTGTTTACAGGTTGAAATAGGTGTTTACATGTTGAAATATGTGTTTACAGGCTGAAATAGATGTTTATAGGTTGAAATAGGCGTTTATAGGTTGAAATATGTGTTTATATGTTGAAATATGTGTTTACAGGTTGAAATAGGTATTTATAGGTTGAAATAGGTGTTTATAGGTTGAAATAGATGTTTATCGGTTGAAATAGGTTTTTATTGGTCGAAATAGGCGTTTATAGGTTGAAATGAAAATTATAGG